GAAGGTTTTATACAGAAATGTATTTTAAAGATTGTATCATTATTGCAGAATCGTTTCAGGTTTTTAGGTTAGTATGATGACTGCTTTGTCCAAACAAAAACAGAGTGTATTTTAAAGAATCTCCCTTTAGAAGAGAACATTCAGGTCTCATCATTTTTTATTTATTTATTTATTTTTATTTACAGCTATGAAGTAACATGTCCATAATCATTAAAGCAAAGCAGCCCTTTGCTTTTTATGAAGACACAGATGGCATCGTCAGTAGTTAGTTTTAGTGGTGCTGTTCTCAGTGTTTACTATCAGATCAGGGTATAAAGGTTAAATGCCACAAGTTATTTTCTACACCCTAAAAAAGATTTTACAAAATAGGGATTTTCTTTTTTTTTTGTGGTTTTAGAAATTATTATTATGTTACAAAAGGTTGGTATCCAGCTTTAAAAGCAGTTTCAAACATAAAGACTACACACTAATGACATATGTTGGTAAAACTCAATAAATTAGAATATTGGATCTGATTATCCCTGTTTGCTGGAGGAAACATACCTTTTCGAAAAAAAAAAAAAAAATATCAAGGTTTAAACCAGGGGTCTTCAACGTTTTCAAGGCCAAGGACCCCCAAACTGATGGTAAGAGGGAGGGATGACCCCCTAATTATATATATTTTATGAAATTGTGTTCTATCAAACTGGTTCTATAGTCACTCTATTACAGATGGAGCCCTGTAAGGAAAGTAATTTCACCCTGGGATTATTAAAGTATTTCTAATTCTGATTCCTGGTTGATGGGACAGGTGTTGTGAATGAATGTGTGCATTGATGACTGAAAGACATCTTCTGCCTCCATTTATCTGTTTACAACAGTGTGTTGGATTCATGTTAATGTGTATTTGAAAACATTTCAATTAGTGGAAAAAATTGAAGGGGAGAAAAGTTAATCAACAAAAACTTCCGCGACCCCATGCAGTACCTTCCTGGACCCTCTAGGGGTCACAGACCCCTGTTGAAGACCTCTGATTTAAGCTGATATTTATTGCAATTTTCATTAAGCCCACATTTCTATATAAAATGTTTTTTACTGTTCTGATGTATTAGTCTTTAGTTACATTTCTTGTTTTTGTTACATAAATAAAAATCTGAGTAACATGTTTACATTATGAGTTTATCTTCTGTTAAAAAATTTTGTTTGATTATATTCTTAAATACCTTGATGCACTTCTGTGTTTCATTTTTTTTTTTTTTTTTTTTTTTTTTTAGAGATTTTGGCCAGCGTACCACTCCTGTTTGTTATTTTTAGAACATCAGGTTGTAACTAAAACAACACTGGATATTATCTTTCATCATATATTTTTAATATTTGTTTCAACATTGTCTATCATTAAGTAAATGTTGGTTGATTTTCTTTTATAAAGTTAGTATAAGTTTTTAGATTTCTCTTGCTGAAAGTTCTTGAATCGTGCTTGAAGCAGAGTGCTTGCAGCCTATTTTTTTAAATAATGGTGTGAGATCATATCTGGTTGAATTTGTGAGAAGTATTCACACAAACCACATAATATGCGTTTTAATCAGTGAGAAAAAAAAATCATGATCTATGAAGATAAACTCTCCATTTATGAAATTAGCTGCTGGAAGAAGCTTAACCGCCATTTGGTTGATGTTTTCTTTGACCAGAGACAGTTTATTTATTTATTTTATTTTTTTTTATTCATTAACAATAGATTTAGAAATGTTTGGAAATGTCTGATGTCTTTCAGGAAATGCAGAGGTGTTTTGATGAGAAGAACATTGAGATGCTGCAGGATTTAATGGATAAGCTGGGCCCTGAGGTGAGCTGGTTGCACGAGTAATTTCAGTGAAGTAAATGAGAGTGTCCCAAAGATTCTGACTATGTTGAACTTGTTTCCTTGTGTTAACAGGAGGGAGGGTACCACCTGAAGAGATGTATTGACTCTGGGTTGTGGGTCCCTGACTTACCTGAGGAAGAAGATGAGGACGAAATTACAAACTAAACTTGATGTGTTTCCAAATGATTAGGGAGTAATGTACACTAAAACTAGCTTTACAGTGATTCGATTTATACAATTATTGTATGTCTTCAGATATTTTTGCACTTGAATATTGAATTGTTGTATTCAGGTGTGTTGTTTAAATCATTTTAAATCAAATATTCTATTGTTTAATTCACATTTAACACATTCTTGACTTTTTAAGGAAAGAACAAAAAACAGAAGCAAAGTTCTCGATTTACTGAGTTAGAACCTAACTTTTGGTAAAAAGGTATGAATCATGACTGAAAGGACAAGCTCCACGATACCAGCTTAATCTGGAAGATGTTTGGCTCAGCATTAAATATGTTCTAATATTCTAAGTAATCAAAGCAGGTTGGTCCACTGGGGGGAGATCCTGAAAAAGACCTAGAATTTAGGAGTAGCTTTGAAAAATATACTGAAGTTTAGATGTATCGCCTTTTTTATTCACTTTGATTTGAATATTTGATTAGAAAGATTATGTGCCTTCTAAAATTGGCTATCTAGTCTTTTTCATTAATATATATATATTAGACGAGGTGCCAGGAAAGACCAAGTACGGACTGGAGAGGCTCTTTGTCCTGTCTTGGCTGAAACATCTTGGCTAGAAGGAAAAAGATGTCTGTTTTTCCCTGTTGGACCTTTTTTCCAGCTACTACATCCTTTTACCAAAAATGTTTTTTTGGCCAAAAAAAAAAATTACTTTTCTCCCCAATTAGTTGCACGTGGACTTGTTTGTCAATCTTGATTCATCATTTGCTCCCTGTTTCTTTACATAATAGTTTGTGGCCACTTGAGTTTTTAAATCAGGCGTCTCAGCTGTGATCCTGAAGTCTTGTGTCATTTAGCTTTTAGCTGTGTTTATGACTCAACACACCTGGTTCCACCATTACTTGGACTCAAAACTCGGAACTCAATTGCTTACATCAAGTTTACACCGACTTTGTTGCGTCTTCTGTGTCATTCATCACAGAATATGTTCTGCTTTTTTCTTGTCTAACTCCCTGTCTGGATAATTTGGTCTCAAGCAATTTCTGAGTTTTGCTCAATTTTTTTTCCAGAAATACAAAATAAACTATGCCTGCATTGATTTGAATCCTTAATGCTTTCAATAGAGAGATCAGGACATGGATGACAGAGTCTATGTGAACCTGGGGTTAAAAAATAAATAATCCAGCTGATTCAGATGAATTGGACCAGGGACATTTTATTAAGTTGCAAGACTCCAGCTCTTTATGTCTCTGGTTTGGAGAAACCTCTGCCTTAGATTCAAAGCTTTAGCACCCTCTGTTGGTTTAAATGGATTATTGCAGAAAAGTGGTGTGAATTATTTAATGTAGCCAATAGTTTATTTGTTGTATTATTTGGCTGTTAACTGTCATTTAAAGATAAATATTTTAAAGTAGTCCCAACTCTTGATTTTTTTTTTTTTACATTACATTATGTATTGTTTTGATGATTAAAGTTATAGTGCAGGGTTCAAATATTTTTTATTCAAGAGCCACATTTATTAACATGTAGTAATTATTGTGATTCCTCTTTTGGGCATGAGACATAATCATTATGATACAGCAACACAACAATAAATTCTTCTTGATGTTTTTAAACCTCAAAAACATGCAGGTATTCTTTGCTTACGAATAAAAAGGCTTTACTCACTGCACCCAAATCCATAATTAGATGTACACTTTTATATTTGCATCCTTTGTTTATGGGGCTTTTTCTACAGTCAAATGCCATAAAGTACATTACAAAAAAACTGTACAAGATTGTAAAACTTTTCTTACCATCACTTAAATCATTATAAAAAGAAATACCACAATAGAAGATGTGTTTTTGTCATGATGCAGGACAGAAGGATCCAGTATTCAAGGCGAAACAGACAGTGGGATGATTCAAAAGCGGCTATTTAATCTCAGGCGGATCTGCAGCGGCTGCGGATAGGGTATCTATGGCTGGAAACTCAGGTTAAAGAGAAACACAGGTTGGTGAAAATGATAATCTGACGGAGAATGATTATCCATATGTCACTAACCTGGTTTAACAGTTCAGTCCATCTCTAAAGAACGAGGTAGGATCCAGTTGGTGGGCAGCCAAGGAGTTGTGGCGGGCAGCGCTCAGGGTTTCCCCGATGCTGCAGTCGCGGAGAACAGGCGGGGGTCTGACCCAGGTCAAAGAACCAGATCAGGACAGGAAGGCTCAGAGGTCCAGGAGTCCGAAGCTCGATCAGAGATTGCAATGAGGACAGGATCCACAGATAGTTCAGGCAGAACGTTTAGACTGGAACAGGCAGGCTCAGTGGTTGAGAAGCAGAACAGGTCAGGATATTAGGAACACTACGGAATGCTAATAACCGCTCTCTCCACGAGCCAAGACAGGAACAAACGTGCTTGGTGGATGAGAGGCAGATCAGGATCAGGAAATCAGAAACACTATGAAATGCTAAAAACCCACTCACCACTGGGCCCCGAAAATAAGCACTAGAACAAGAACATCAGCATCAATATGGAAGAAGCAGGAGCAGGTGGATTAGATAAGCATATAAGATAATTGGAAACCTGGCAGAGTTTGGCAGGTGAATGAAATGAGCAATTAGGCCAGCCATCAGAGCCAAGATCATGACAGTTTTTATCCCTATTTGTTTTTCTCGTTTTTCACATTTTCCCTGTCCCCTTTGTACTTACACGTATGAAATAAGCATATTTGGCTTTCCTCATCCTTTTTTTTTTTTTATATGGAGGACATATTTGTCAAACATATAATAAATATTTGTCCCATCAAAACGTTCTTCCACCTTAGGGGCACAGTCCACCTTCGGCGATGTTTGGCCGGGTAGTTTAGGTAAGATTTATATTAAACAAATACATTTAGATATATTAAATAAATAATTCCATAATTGCATACATCTAAAATTATTTTTATAATGACAGGATAATAACATTGTAGATATTAGATCACAACACAGATGTGTTTTAATGACAATTAATAGAATTAAGATATTAAAGTTGTAAAATGGTTTTCCTTGGATTTTTATAAAGGGGTATTGGATTAAAGAGGGCTAAAGATTTATCAATATTTGTAAAAATAAATTAATACTTTAACTCTGTTTCAGTTCACAGTCATGTACCAATGTGTTTGACTGTTACTTATAAAATGCAAAGAAAATACATTTTGGTTGCAAAGAGGATGTGAAAAAGTCAAAAATAGTGGGAATAATTTCTTTAAGATTTTCATTCTTCCTTTTTATATGTGCCCTTGTGCTGCATCTACGTATAAACGTTTTTCCTCCTAAATTATCTGATTTGAACAATTTAATGTTCTTTCATGAACTGACAGAACATTAAATTAAACTGAAAGATCAACAGTTGTGCAAAATAAACATGCAAAAACAAACAGCTTGTTATCAAGCAATTGTAAGCATTTAAGTTTAATCTTCAAAAGCTATGTTTTATCTCTTAAACCTTGCAGCCCAAATCCATATTTACTATAATATGTTTGGCCCTGATTCATCATGTTAGTTGACGTTTGAGAGCGTAAATCATCCATTTGTCCTTGAATGGCTTCAAAAGGGCACAGAAACAGGACAGAATAGGCTGCTAGGATACACAGAGGCTTATTGTATTTTTGGATGAGTGGTGTGTATCAATAAAAACCTGCTTATTGTGTGGAGTTTGAAGGAGGGAGCCTGGTTGTTCAAATTGAATAGCTGCTGATAAAAAGAAAAACAGGTTCTGCCTTTTAACAGAAAAAGGAAAACAGCAGGGTATAGTGATGGAGAGAGGAGGAGCAAGACTGTTGTATGGGATTAATGGACAAAACTGTGCGGGAGGAGGGAGGGTGGACGGGCTTCTCCATGGAGCCTGTGGTGGTGGAGGGTGGGGGATGGCTGGGGGAGACCACTGTGGCAGGGGGAGAATAGAGATCGAGAGGGAGGAGAGAAGCTGGTGAAGCTGCAGTTATTCATGAGAGCGGAGCGTGTGTTTTTTTTCCCTCCTTCTCTCTCTTCCTCATGCTGTGGTGATGCACTGCAATGTCTGCAGACAGACAGACAGACAGAAGACAGAGAGGGAAGGAGACAAGCAGGACAAGGCCCAGCCCATCTCACCATTGATCTTCAGGCGATCAAGGTGAGTGTTTTTATTCTTGCATTTTGCAGCCTGCGTGTGTGTGTGGATGCATGTGTGCACGTGTGGCTTTCTCACACACACAAATACACACACCTCTTTTTGTTGCTGTATGTGTACAGACATGAAAGCAGGACAGCCCTCACATATGCACGGTCGTTTTTTTGATGCAGAGAGCTTTCTTTTTTTAAACATGAATGTATTTTCATTTGGATGTGTTGCAACAAAACAGCAGGTTGGTAGTTGAGATGCATGTTGATGCAGTGCTGCTTGGTTTTATAAGCTGCAGGAGATGGAAGTGGTGGCAGCCATAGTGTGTTTGTATGCCTGTATGTGCTCATTTTCCTTGTTGTCTGTCCATATATATGTCACTGTGTCACTATGCATTTGTTGATTTCTCCTCACAGACCTGTTATCGCTCTGTGCATCTATGCTGACTCTTCTGTGAAGGTGCCTTTTTTAAAGGGAGGGTGTGTTCTCTGTGACCCTGGTAAAAGTCATTTTCATCACTATTGTCTTTTATCAGAGCCACCCTGATATGCTGAATCTGCACAATCCCATGGAATTAGGTCAACTCCAATTGCTTTGAGTAATTATATAACATCAGAGAGCTCTGGTGTTTGCAGTATCTCCTCAGAATTAGCCAAACTGGTTGGTACAGCTCTGAGAGGTCTACCTCAGACAACAACATGTTTTGATGTTATGCAGCTTTTAAGTGAATCACTAATTCACTGAGCATTCAATTTAGTGTAGTGTACTCACAAGTTGTTTTGCATGTTATCAGTTGCAGAATAATCTCAACAATTGCTTGTGATCCCAAGTACTTGAATTAAAGACAAATCTACTTAATTTGATTTTTGATTCTATTATGGAAACAGTCTTAAGAATTGATTTAAAGTTTTTATGATATTGTCCCAAGAAGACAATGCAATATTGAACTTGAAATACCAATCAATAACCGTAATCCTTCAGGGGAACTAAAGAATTTAATTCAATTAGAGTTTAAAGAAAGACATTTAAAGTTTAATATATAACATATAATAATGAATATATTTATTCATAACTATGCCCAAAGAAGTAATTACAATTACCGGTCAAAAAACAAACAAATAACATGTGCAATGCTCAAACTGCCACTTCATAACAAATGCAGAAGTTGTTTGAGTAAAATTTTAAAACAAAACTAAGACGGTCTGGGATGAAATATATTTAGTGAAAGTCTCAATCCATAACTAAATATAACCTTAACTCTTTGCTGATCAAAACTATGATTGGAACTACCAATGCAGAAAAAAGAAGTTTATTTAAAAAAAAGGTTGAGGAACCTTTAAGGAACTATGACATGTTCCGAGACTACTCATAAAAGGTCAAAATATGACATTTAATTATGACACAACCAATCTTTATAAGCAACCAAAGAGCATCTTGGAAAACGAGATTAGATAAAAACAACGAATATGATGCTTCCTTAAAGTTACATACCGAAATTTAATATGAAAGTGAGAAAATATACTCCACTATAGTTATCAACAAATAGTCTAAATCTTCACCATAAATACAAGTTGTTAGAAGAGATAAATTATGTTGTTTTAAGTTACAGAAAGCAATTGACTATATGAAAGGAAAAGGGTTGTGGTAGTTTTGCTTGATATGAAACTTAATAATAAAGTTTGATTATCAAGTTTAGCAATTGGAATAATGCTTGTTTCATTTTCTCTTTTCTTAGGGAGAAGATCCAGCAATGACTACTAACAAATCGAATAAGGATTTTTAAATTTAATGTCCCAGATGAGGCAGCAATATCCAAAAAGAATCTCCGAGGCCAGATTGGATCCAAGTGACCGATTCCACATTGATAAGTCAACCTCAGAGTCAGGAGAGACCTGTGGCAGAATCGTTTAAATTCTCATGGATGGTCGGTTGACAAATGACTGATTGGCAGGATTCATTTACAATAGCCATCATGTGATCCACTCTACACGCTGGATAAGGGCTGAGAAGAATTTGTGGAAATGATACTTATCTTGGATCTGTATTTTGATGGTCGGCAGATGCATCTGACCAATGGAAATACACACAGGATGACTGCTTTTTGATTACTCTTTGCATGTTTTTGGGATCAAATGTTTTTTTTTTTCTCACATTTTGGAACCTCTGAGGAGCAGATAGATGCTCCCCTACTGTTTTAAAGCAGAACTCCCAATTTCATCTATCTGAAGAGCAGGGTGTGGAGACAGTGCAGGCAGTGCTGTTTGCTGGCTGAGTCAGCTCCAATGGGGGCCGGTTTTGACCCGGTCTGACCCCAGTTTGAGCTTGCAGTGACCCCTGATCTCTCCGGTCCTGGCTCTCCACCTGCTCTGCTGCCTGGGTTCCGGAACGCTCCGCCCTGGGGCCCAGAACGAGCCAATCAGAATGAAGAAGAGCCGCAGCGTGCTCTCGGTTACTGGAGAAGAGGTAAGATGGAAAAAAAAGTACAATATAAATAAAAAAATCAACAGTTTTTAAGATAACAGTGGTAGACAGTGACTGTTATAACAGATGGATTGAATTTTTTTTTTTATTTAAATTTTTTATTTTTCAAAAAAATTGCATGAGTCACTCTGTTTTTCAACACATTTCAGGCACAATTTCACAACTTTCTACAGGAGCTGTGAACAATATTTGCAATGCTAATTTTAACCAAACTTTGAATTTACCATTTCAGAAGAAAAGCAGAAACATCCATGTGGCTTCAGAGGCCCTTTCCTTCCTTAAGCAGACTTTTGCTTTTGTTTTGAAGAAGCCATTTCTCAGAGCTATCACATGACTATAACCTCTTATATTTATTGGTGCGGAATCCTTTTGTGTCAACGCTGGCATCATAACCACAAGTAACATTTATATAAATTGGACATGTGAAAATGTATTTAAAAAAGGTTTTATTAACAATATTTCTTCATTAAAATGTTTACATTTATTGTACAGTCCATATGTTCTGTGGATGTATTTTTTTCAAATTTTTGGTGAAAGAGCTGTAGCTTTAACCTTTGTTAAATTATACTTCTTTTTCCTTGCATCAAGTAACAGTACCAGTTAAAAAGCACATACATGAAAATTAAAGCAAATTTGTCTCACAATATTTTGCAAGATCAAAATAATTCAATAAATGTAATATCATTTGAAACATAACACAGATATTGACAAAAACACTCAGATAAATTACAACTTATTGTAGAAATTAATACAATTAATATTTTATAAATCTTTTTTACACAATGTGCAAATTCATAAGAGATATCAATTTTACTTCAAGGTAAATGTTACATGACATAATTTATCAATATCTTCCATAATTTGATCTCACTCTCTTTGTGTATGACATAATGTCTGTGAGAGATCACTTAATGTCTGCCGTCCGAACATACAATGCATTCTATTTCTAATGTGGAGTGAGTTAAACAGTTTACAGTGTTGTAAAGTCTTTTCAGTAAGCTTTCAAATATGCCATTTTTACATAGGATTGTAGGGTATATTCTTTGGGCATTTATTATAAAGGGCTAAAACAAGTTTTGTTAATCAGATGTAGCATATGTATATATAATTTAGATAGATATTCATAAAAAACCTTCAATTATCATTCTTTATTCTAAGTCAAACATACCAAATCAGCCCATCACAATATCTGACAGTCTTATGACATGTCTGAGGGACACACTTCATATGCAATTCATAAAATATGGGGTCATTATAATCAATGCAGCATTGTTTACCTGCCAGCTGTGTATCATTATTAATTGAAAGCCTGAGATGTTTCCTTAGAGCAAAAAAATAGAATACTTATCTATAACTCAGACATATAAGGATGATAATAGCAATAAAACAGAATTCCCAACCAATAGCCTTGCCACAAGAAGGACCTGTTTATGAATCTTGGCTATGTTTCTTTTTGCATAGATTTTTTATTTTCGTCCAATCTGATTCTCCAGGTATAAATGCTGGTAGGTCTCTGCAGAACGTGAAATAAAATAAACATCTGAACTTATTTACAAGTAAATGAGTCAAAGATCTCTCACGTCATCTATAACTAGATGTAAACAATTCTTTGTAACTCCTTCCTTCCTTCCTTCCTTCCTTCCTTCCTTCCTTCCTTCCTTCCTTCCTTCCTTCCTTCCTTCCTT